CTCGTACCGGCGATCGCGCCGATGCTTGCGCACTGCTGGATTTAGTATCGAAAAACGAGATGGCAGGGGAAAATATATGTACACGTACTAGGTGGGCGAAGGAGCCGCGACGGACGTACAGAGCAGGGCCCGCAGGACCGCGCGAACTGAGGGGCATATGCTCAACGTGGGCAGGGCAAGCCGGAATGGGCGCACCCAGGCGACAGCGCTACACAATTCACAGAAGAGTCGGCGGGTAACCAGCGCTGATACGCTGCCGGGCGTCCTGCGTGCGAATAACGGCGACGAGCGAAAAACAAAACAAAACAAAACAAAATGGGACGAACGGGACACGCAGAATCTCGACGAAGGGTGCGTGGGGGTGCGAGGGTGTTTCTACACGGCTTCTAGCCAACCGGAGATCGAAAACGAGAGAGCGTAAGCTACAGCGCTAGCTTCGAACCGCTCTGGGACGCAATAACGAGACGCGACGAGGAGGATGAGTGCGATTAGTAAGACGAGAGAGGAACGACGAATTTAATGCATGAATGAAATGTTCTTGATTGTTTTGTAGAGCTTTTACAGTCTTTATATACCTACTTTGTGTACTATAATTTGTATGTAAAATGTATGTGCTTATAAAGAAAGGAGAGCATAGAATGTACTAGAGTGTGAAGGTGAAGGTTTTTAGGGAAGTGGAATGGACAACTAAGCTACAGAAACGGAAGTGAAGGCAGTGCGATACCAAATGTGGGCGCCTAATTTACACGGATGACGAAATGCTGCGCTCTAATGAATTAATAAGCGCGCACCGGCCGCGGATACGTAGAATGCCGGAGGATAGTTTTGGGAATGTGTATGCGTGGTGTGGAATGGAGCGGAATGTGCTGGAAAGCGGGGCGGCGTCGGGCGCGGTGTGTCGGCGAATGTGGGAAAGCGGCGAAGGGCGCGGGAAAGTATTGATCCGGTCACATGTCGATTAGGACTTCGTCGAATTTCGTGGCTGGGGTGAGCTCGGGCTCATCAGCGCCTGGGATAGAACTGGGGTGCGCGCGCTTGGACAGGGAGTACACCGTGGCCCGGGGAATGCTGCTGTGCAAGGTTGCATCTGCGTCGACCGCGGAATGCATTTGGGGGGGGGGGGGGGGGCAGCGCACGGGGTCATTACTGTTCAGATGACGCGGGATGGACAATTGACGATGATGATCATGTCAGCATGCAGCGCGGACAAGGGAAGGGCCGCCGCGCGCACCTCGTAACGAGCCCCGCACGCAGCTTCATCACTGCGTTCCACGCGAAATGCGACACCATCGACCGCAACTAGCAGCGCGTCTTCGATCTGAACCAGCTGCCGATGAAACGTGCTAAAAAAACAGCGCGCGGATTCTCGCCGCCTCGTGGCTTTATGAAGTCTACGTGGACGCAAACGCACGCGCAGTGCATAGGCAGTCCAGGCTGAAACAAGGGTGCGGTGGATGGAGGTCATCAGCCAGGAGGCTGGTAGAGGCGCGAGGGAGAGACACGCACACTAGGTGGGGGCGGTGTACACCATGAGTGACGCCACTGGCGTGTCTGCTCAGCCAGGCCGTGGAAGGGCTAGGGCAGCGTACGTTTACTATTGGGAAATAATCTTCCCTACACAAGCATCAGCACGATGCAAATAAACCAAAGGCCCATCTTACAATGACTCCCACGGCGAGCGCGCCGTCGCCGAGCCAGCTACTCGGCCAGCAGCGAGCGGAAGTGCCCCGCACCGCGTAACAGCCGTGCATGGAGCCAATATGCGCGACTCCTCGCTCCTTCCGCGCACTTGCGCATCGACGATACTTGATACCGTCGAACACCACCGTGAGCGCCTCAATCTACGGGGGAGGCTGCGATCGCGGGGCAGAGTACGAGCGGTGGCTGATGATCTGCGTCGGTGTATCAGTACGTTTTCCGAGTCGATGCCCCTATAGTGAAAGCTCCGCAGAATCCGGTAGCGTATAGGAGCAGGTCTGCGGCGGAGTATCGGCAAAGTATCGAGCAGGGCTTGGTAAGTCTCCTGTGCTCTTTTCTGGTTGGTGTTCGTGCGGCGGCTGGCGAAGAGAGCAATAATAGGGAGCAGAATAGCCTGCGGCGCCCAGGACAAGCGCGGGATGGGTCTTGGATGTGAGCGCGCGGGGGGGAGGGTGGCGTTGAAGATGTCGAGCGAAAGTCAAGCAAGGCAGGCCAGCTGCGAGAACGGAGTCGATAGCGGCAGCCGTACTCCTGAAAACTGCACACCGGGCTGGGCGCAATGAGTGCCACGCGTGCGGCGGCGGACCATGGAGCGGAGCGCGGCCGCCAATGCTGGCGGCGCTTTGGGGGCAGGCGTTGTCGACGCACAAGAGGTCGTGAGAACACCGCGGCCCGCCCAACAAAATGAGGGCCGGCGGAGTGGCCCGTTTGCGGCCGCGAGCCCGGCTGCTCACCCCACATATTTACGCGTCGCGGCTCCCGACGCTGCAGACAGTAGTACGTCTCGCGATTGAGCTTTATGCGCAGTGTATTTCCAAGCTCGAACAGGGCCCCCCGTGCGTGGTCTGCTTCTCATCTCCCTCGGGTCGTGTCCCGTCCCTCCGCCGGCTCGTGCTCCGTCCTTCCGCCGGCCCGTCCGCGTTCCGGCCCGTCGTAGTACCGCCGCCGGCGCACCCCGCAGCGTATTACGCCACGCACTCAACGCGCCTTAGTGGTGGGCCGCCCTATATCATAGTAAGCCGTACTATACGGAAATTATATGCGGGTACAACGAAGATGTTTACTCAATTACCGTAGCACACGGTCACCTTTAGACGTAGCTTGCGTGGTCCGACTTGCTGCAGCGTGTAATCGTCCAGCGCACAATGCAATGTCCCAAATGCTTCATCCACGGAGAGCTCATAGCTTGGCATTAAACACAGACTCTACACGCGAGAATTAGTTGCCGGATACATTCCGTACAGTGAGCCTTCCCCGTCGACGTCAAAGCTAATGGTGCGGTAACGGCGACCGTGATGGCCATAGTTATTCCTATTGCCTTCGCCAGCGATTGCGGCGTCCCCGGATTCATCACATTCCTCACCTCTGGCAGCTAATAGATTACCCAGAAATTGGAGCCCGTGCAGGAAGAATATTACAGCCTCGAAAAACCATTCATTCTGAGGACTTGGGCAATTCCAGTGAATTCAACCAGTGGACGTACTGATCCATTTCTCCCTCCTTAACCTCGATATATGCGTCGACTTCGTATATCCTCCCCAAGCTGGCCCGCTATTAGCGGCAAATGTGCAGTGGAATCGCCCTATTTTACGGCTGATTTCAAGAAAGCGCGCTCAAAGGTCCTGACAACATTTCCCAGACTGTCCGCTTCCTCTCAAGTACCAGACAAGATAGCCTGAGCGGGGTGTGTGAGATACCTGATGATTTTGTCATAGGAAAAAATAGATGACGGTGAGGTGCAAGTATCCGGCAGCATTTCCAGACATTTTCGGTAGGACAGAAACAATAGCTAAAACTGGTGCCATCAGGACCCAGCGGAGTAAAGATCGCTTTGGAGGATTGGATGAGGGGATGAAGGATAACAGTACTTGACGGCACCCGGACTGCGTACTCGGGCTATGTATTTTGTCATTAGCAAATACAGTTTCTATCCTTATGACACGTTATGGTATAGCGTATTACTTCAAGCGCCCTAACATGAAATTCCAGCCAATTGGCGCACCCGCGAACTGTCGAAGGAGCCAACATGAGATACCGCCGTCCTCACTATATTCTGGGTGGCGTAGTGTACCCTAATCAAGTACTTGATCAAGGAGTATATTTACTCGAACATCACAGCCAAAAAATGCAGCAGTTCATCCGACCAGTTTAAGCGCTGGTAGACGCTTCTATCCCCTGCAGTCGGGGTGGGAGTTCTGATCGACGATTCCCACGCCGTTAGGACACCGGCGACTGGGTGGGCTACCAATGCATCGAGCTTTCCACGAGCCTATTGGGAAGTTGAATACAGCGGTACGGCTCCGGGTGCGAGTTTCTGCGGTGCATGTTGGCGCCCAAGTTCCACCGCTTATATCACTGACATAAACTACTTACAAATGATCTGCGCCCCGATTTCCGTTTGCCCAAAGGCATCACATAAGAATTGATATTGATTACCCAGTTGCCCTTGGCACCGACGCGTGCGGCGAGCCACTGAAACAACCATGACTGTTCCTCATGTCATTGCATCTGCGGCCGTACTTATACCGTACTTAGTCGCATCGTCGGTAACGCGTCGCAGACCACCGTAAATAGCGGTTTCAATATTCCCGGTCGCGAAGTTTCTGTTCCCGTTCATCAACCTGAGGGTCTTGGCCCTTGGTCGTCGGCCAGGAGGACAATTTTGATATTTGTCAACTAATTAACTCCAGTTATCTCCCCTGCAGCTTGCGTTTGAGTACGTCGGTCCTACATGAGCATACTATAAAGTACTGCGCGTACCGGTCTACGTCTTCTACATCGATCTGAATAATTCTTGGACACCTTCCCCTAACCTGTGTTGGTGTGAAATAGTGTAACAGAACATAGGCCCGGTTGTGCTTTCCAATACTAAGTAGTCGATCAGAGCATTTATTTGAATCCTCCTTCGACTATACGCAGAAAGAGTCGCTATCTCCTCTTGGATGGAATAAATTAAGTGCGAATAATACGCTCTATACGATTCAAATTAGTGACTTTGGCTCAGAATTGGGGGCGCCAGCGGTTATAACAATGCCTTGGTTTGCTTGGGCGCGAAGCCAGGCACCGAGCGGGGACAGAGTGATCTGTACAAGATCTGTATTAGACACCCCGGTACACGCGACTTTCATTTCGGCGTTTCAATATCACGGGGCATCGCTCTGGACCATCATAACTCTTCAATTAGGTTTCGTAGTGGGTCTTCAATTCTAAAGGGGAAAAAGAAAAAAAGAAAGGTGTGTTTACTGGTATTGTCTGACAATCCTGAGTCGCAATCGTAAATATCAAAAAGCAACTACTAGGCTCTGCCCCAGAGAGACTTGAACTCTCGATCTTCCGATATTCTGCAAATCTAACGAATGGCTAACAGTCGGACGCCGTAACCAACTAAGCCATGGGGCATATATATTGTCGCGTCGCCCATCGTCGGTTGAGGCGGTCCGATGAGGCGGTCCGAATGACGCCGAATTAAAATTTAACGGCATACATTCGTTCTCCGCTCAGCTGACCGACTCGGGAGGCGTTCGTCTGCCACGGGCTGCATCCTCCGACGAGTCTCCCGGCCATGTTCTACTTTCCAGCCGCCGATACACCACTCCTGCCATTCCGTCAAAGTTAATCTTGGTCGAAGTTGCGATCGCTCCAGCAGCGTTCCTCCATTCTTGCTACGTGGCTGCGTCGTGGCGACCATAAGGCAAAACTATCAGACACACCTCTGTCGCTGATGATTCCCCTTTCCCTTTCACGAAAGACGACATCTGTGGCTAGTCTCCTCTCCAACACAGTTGGTATGGGGATGGCAACAGTACTTTTGCGACACGGAACCGCATACCGTGCATGCACCTTGCATGGTTCTCGGTCTTGTGACTCTGCTTCTTGGATGGTGTGGGTATGACGTCCGCGTCAGGGTCTATAAAGAGAGCCGTGCCACCAAGATGACGGTGTTATCATTGCTTGAGTTCCCAATGTTGCCTCTCCTCGCCCTGTGTCTGTGGCTAGTGACTGTCGGGGGTGCGCAGGACCTAAAGTCCTTGTTTGAAACGCAACAACCCGGGTTCAATGTTTCTCTGGTGCTCCCTGGGGATCCGACATATACCAACGCAAGTAAACCCTGTAAGTGTAACCCTATGTTTCGCCAAGCGGTAATAATTCAGGGGCAGTCAATCTTCGTTTCGACTTTGAGCCCGCAGGGATCGCGTTCCCCACCACAGTCCAAGAAGTGTCGGAAATCGTTAAGCTGGGCCAGCTCGTAAATCACCAAGTCGTTGCTCGGAGCGGCGGGGTAGTTGACCGTCATCATCCTCGTTGATTCGCTTCTGATCAATGAACCAGCACAGTTACATCGCGAACGGTCTTGGCGGAAAAGATGGCGTTATTGTCATCGACATGCGCAACTTTCAGTCCATCACGGTGGATGATTCAGCTGGTACAGCGGTTATACAGGCGGGAAATCGCTTGGGGGACATTGTGACGGCATTGGCTGCCCATGGAAAAGGACTGCCACATGGAACATGCCCATATGTTGGCTTCGGTGGCCACGCAGGTGCGCGCTGTGTCATCTCGGCCTAGACGATTCTAGTGCGCGATAACTGAGCTCTGTATAGTATTCGGCGGCTTTGGCTTCACGTCCCGCTTGTGGGGTCTCACTGTCGATGCCACGCTTGCCGTGGACGTCGTCCTCGCCAACGGCACGATTACCACTGCATCTGAAGCCCAGAATCCTGACCTCTTTTTTGTACGTCGCCTTCCGTTTCCACGCCTATCAGACATTTCTCTAATATTAGTTCTACATCACCGTCTTACAACCTCTCTGCAGGCTATGCGCGGGTCCGGCTCTTCTTTTGGTATAGCCACCGCATTCACGGTCCGTACATTCCCGGCACCGCCAACCGCAACCATATTTTCGTACAACTGGCAGTTCACTGCACAAGGCGCCGCTGACGCACTTGCCGTGTACCAGAACTTTGTACTCAGCGCTCCGCTTCCGCCCTCGTTCGGCGCGGAGATCGTCATCACTCGCGGAAATGTACAGGGCAATGTCAGCATTGGACTCGCAGGCGGATGGTATGCGCCAGTCGACCAGCTGAACGCGACTCTGGGTCCGTTCCTTGCACAGATGCCTATCCCGCATAGCGAGAGCTTCGACACCGGCGACTATCTGCACAGCGCGACCAATCTCGCAGGGGGAAGTCTAAATACAATGGCGCAGCCCGACAACACGGACACGTTCTACGCGAAGAGTCTTATGACACCCGAAGGGGCGCCCATGAGTGCGCAGGCGCTGCAGGCATTCATGAATGTGGTTGCAAACGAGGGGTTTACAACGGAAACAGTATATTTGAACTCCCTATAACCTGTTTTGTGTGGACTGATGACCCCCTGTGGCAGGGCTGGTTCTTCCAGGCAGAGCTCTTCGGCGGCAAAAACTCAGCCATAAACGCTGTCCCAACCGGCGCGACTGCTTTCAGCCGCCGCGACTCTCTTTTTACAATACAGTTCTACGCGTCGTCGCCTGGAAGTGTGCCACCTTACCCACAGTCAGGTTTCACATTCCTAGATGGTGAGCCGCATACATTTCTCCTGTTAGAGGCTCTGCACTAGATTAATTTTTAGATGTGGTCAATTCGATTGTCCATAATTCCCCGGTCGACTGGGATTACGGGTAATTGCGTAGAAATTACATTGCATGCTGCCTGTCCGAATAATTTTTCTGTCCGTCCAGCGCGTATACAAACTACGTAGATGACCGATTGGTGGACTGTACGTCTTTGCTCCATCTGAATGCGAATTGAATCTCATGTACTGTTGAATGACCTTTCGCAGGGCAACAAAGATACTACGCAACAAATTACCCGCGTTTGCGGAGCTTGAAGGATGCCTACGATCCGAGAGGAACATTCGCGTTCCCTACATCAGTTCAGGAATGATTCCACCGCGCCTCCACGTAGTCTGCTCAAAAAATTACCTCCAACCGTAAAGATGCGTAAGATAATATAAACGTCACAGCCCCGTGCTGCATCCCTTTTAAACAATGACATTCGTCTTTGTGCGATGGTTTTGGTTTGTCACCTCCAAATCAGTGGGCTATTCGGGGATTAAAAGTGTTTCAATACGTCTGAAGCACAGTAGCACTGCCTGTATTATTCAATCGTGAACGGTAACTGAGCCACGATAGTTCAGCCGACGTAAGACGCCAAGGTACAAAACCGTCCGACATACTTATTACTTAGTAAGTACTATCGGTGAAAACCCGAGCAGATACAGACAGGTGTCAGAAACAGCCAGACGTCACTGATTTTCACCGCTCGAATCGGAGAACAAGTTCGAATAATATATTTGAGAAATTGTGAGTCAGAAATAATCTGTATGGCATATCAACGTTAAACTCATGGCAATTACTGCTCGTCGAGTGTGTTACTTCGGCATCATAAACATGTGAAGATTTGAAGGGAGTCTGAATGCCAAAAATTCAAAAAGGATGCAACGCGGGTGGTTTGTTCGAGACCTGATCCTGGTCAGAGCGGGATCGCCGTTAACGAGATGAAACTCGGCGTGTAATCGTACGGAGTCTATTGTAGAAAACCGAGGGGCAAACCCAATGCAAACCGGCAAAGTTTAAAATCTCTTGGTATATTTCATTACGGTTGTTACAATTCTACTCGGCCCTTCGAATCGTATTGAGTGAGTAGTCGATACAAAAGGAGAGAAAAACTGGGGCAATCGACCCTCAGGACAAGTTACATCTACCGACCAAGTTCACAGTAATCCCCTACTTTTCGCGAATCGCATCTCGGTAGAGCCGATGAAGTCCACATTCACCAAGCCTCCCCTCGATGGCTCTCTCAGTCTTTTGGACATCATTTTCAGTCACGGAGTCCATAGTTTCCATCACCCCTTATTCAAATATGTGGACGTTGACAATGGTATTCGAGCCATTGTCTGGAGCGAGGCAATCAAGGCTTTCAACATAGCCACTCAATATACGATGAAGAGTACTGGTACAAGCAACTTAGGATGTATTGACTCGACTTCTGCTTCTTCCCCTCCTCCTGTTGTTGGAATACTGGCCAATCTGGGTTTGTATTGCCTGTTTGTCACGGACGTACCTGCTGCTGATTGGGTCACTTCGCTAGATTCAATCACGTACTATACTCTGGTTATTGGAATTATGAACGCAGGATTTACACCATTTCCAATCTCACCAAGAAATTCAACGGAGAGCGTAGCTCATCTTCTAGAATCCACTGGCTGCGAAGCCGTTTTTGTCTCAGATGATCTACCTATCCGGAGATTAGCGGAGTCCTCATTTGCTTTACACCAAGAACGCAACCCGCGACGTTCACCTATTCACAGCTTTTATACCCCATCCTTCCAAGATCTATACTCCGCCGAATGCAGGAGTAATGATGAGAATTCCCGGGTTTCTGTGCGCAAGATAGCAGACCATAGCACGCCTTGCGTTATTATTCATTCTTCGGGAACGGTATCTTTCCCAAAGCCTATTGAAATTACATATCGCATGTTCTTTGAGCATGCTCTTCTGATAGGTACGTGTCAGAATACACTCTTTGCCCTTGCACTCCTAGCTTAAATTGACATCATTGATAGGCCTTGAAGGTGATATTTGTGGAGGCATTCTTTCTATACATGCAACCCCAATGTTCCGTCTGTATTATCCTCTCAATTTGCTCTGGAAAAAATTCTGACACAATAGGCTAAATAGACCTAATGGGGCTGCGATCAATATCCTACTCGGTGAGTTACCGAACGCCACTGGTCATTTTTTCGTCCTTACTCATGCCAAAATTTTTGGGAACGTAGGCCATCCTGGGAATCACGTTATCCGTATTTCGGCCAAGCAAGCCACCAATTTTTGCGTCGCCGGACGCTGTTCTCAACAGTTCCGTGGCAACATCGGCGTCCCGGATTTCATGCCCCCCAGCGTTTGTAGAGGTGAATATCGTGATAGAATTTTCACACAGACTCACATTGATGACATTTATGAAGAGCTGGGCGACCGATCAATCTGATGTCAAGAAGTTGAAACAATTTGACTGGATAGTAAGCGTCTCTAGAACTAATAAAACATTTTTATTCATCGCCTTTGTCATTTTCTAGATGTTTGGAGGCGGGCCTTTGCAATCATCAACAGGCGATATGATGGCGCAAGAAGGTGTTAATCTAATGCCAACCCTTGGCCTGTAAGTACACTTGAGCGTCCTTTCTTTGCATGATATGCTGACGTCGGTTGAACATTGACGCATTAATATCCAGCACCGAAGTCGGACCCATCACTTCGTATTTTCCTAGTAAGTTACAGTTGATGATTTATTATGTAAACTGAAAATTCATCGCCTTCCCGTTGAATCAGGGCGGAATCGAGCTGAAGAATGGAATTGGTT